AGGAAAAATAAACAGATGGGATTATATCAAACTAAAAAGCTTCTGCACAGCAAAAGAAACAGTCAACAGAATGAAAAGACAACCTTCAGAGTGGGAGAAAATATTTGCAAGCTATGCATCCAACAAAAGATTAATATCCAGAATTTATAAGGAACTCAAACAACTTAACAGTAAAAAAACCAAATAACCCAATTAAGAAATGGGCAAAGTAGTTGAATAGGCATTTTTCAAAGGAGGATATACAAATGGCCAAAAGACACATGAAAAAATGCTCAACATCACTCAACATCAGAGAAATGCAAATCAAAACCACAATGAGATACTATCTTACCCCAGTCAGAGTGGCTATTATCAAAAAGACAGAATAACAAAAGCTGGCAAGGAGAAAGGAGGCAGAGACTACACTGTTGGTAGGACTGTAAATTGGTGCAGCCATTATGGAAAACAGTATGGAGTTTCCTCAAACATCTACAGATAGAAATGCCATATGACCGAGCAATTCCACTGCTGGGTATATACTCAAAGGAATGGAAATCTTCATGTTGAAGGGATACCTGCACTTCCACATTTATGGCAGCTCTATTTACAATAGCCAGGAGTTGGAACCAAGCTAAATGTCCATCGATGGATGACTGGATAAGGAAATACTATTCTGTCATACAAAATATACAATGGAATACTACTCTTCCATAAAAAAGAATGAAATCCTGCCATTCACACCAACATGGATAAACTTAGAGAAAATCATGTTAAGTGAAATAAACCCGGCACAGAAAAATAAATACTGCATGTCCTCACTCATAGTGGGAGCTAAAAAATAAACTTATAAATAAATAAAAAAGAAAGATACAACAATCACAATCATACATTAAACTTTCAAAAGGAGATACCAGAACTGAGGTTACCAGAGATGGGGAAGGGCAGGATAGGGTGGGGGTAAGGCTGGAATTGGTAAAGGTCCACGAAAAATGATTACACTGTATAATGTTGAATATACTAACTATCCTGATTTGATATTGCACACAGATATTGATATTCAACTCTGTACCTCACAGATATGTACAATCAACTATGTTACAATAAAAAATTAAGAAAAAAACAAAAACAAAAAAATCCTGGAGACACCTCTTCATAGAAGGGTTTGAGAAGTAACACTGGATGGGAGGCTGGTGCCACAAAGAGGGGCCCTGAATACCAGCCGATGAACTTAACCTGTTGGAACTGGAACGGAGCACCCACCACCACTGCCTCTGAGCAGGGCAGTGACATGAACAAGGCAAGGCTTTGGGAAGATTTGTTTGAAATTTCAACCAGGAAAAGGTTGGACATAGAGAGGCCACTCAGGGGCTCCTGGGGCTTTGTGGGTGTAGCTTAGAGTCAGAAGGGGAGTAGGTAGGAAAAGAAAAGAAGAAAGAACACTACAGCAATAAGAATTAAATTGTATATATGTTCAATTGATCCTTGAATGAAACAAGTTCAAATTGCGCAGGTCCACTTATGCAGA